AGCAAATTTTCCTAATGTAATTAATCTTTTGGTTTCCTGACTGCTGGTGCCAAGAGTATTGATTGTGGATCCAAACAAGACGAAATCATCAACTACCTTGATCCTTTCTCCATCTGTTACAATACTGCCTCTTGGCCTGGTGGTGAGGATCTTTTTTCTTTGATATTAAGATGAAATCCATATTGAAGTTTTCTTTGACCTTCTACATCTAGCACTTCAAGTCCTCCTCAGTTTCTGTGAGTGAGTAAAGTTGTATCATCTTCATAATCCTTCACTCCTGATGCCACATTCTTCTTCATAAAGTCCAGCCTCCCTAAAGATTTGTTCTGCATATAGATTGAAAAGATATGGAGAAAAAATACATCACTAATGCAATCCTTTCTTGATTTTGAACCGTACATTGTTTCCTTGCTCTGTCCAGACTTCAACTTCTTGGTCTAGGTACAAGTTTCACATGAGCACAATCAGGTGTTCTTAAATTCCCATTCTTCTCAATTTCAGATACAATTTGTTGGAATCCACACCATCAAATACCTTTTCATAGTTGATAAAACACAAATAGATATCTTTCTGATATTCTGTACTTTCAGCCATGATCCATCCGACATCAGCAAGGATATTTCTAGTACCATGGCCTCTTGTAAACCCAACTTGCAATTCTGGCAGTTCTCTGGTTTCAGTCATTTTGGGATAATCTTCAGAAAGATTTTATTTCAATATGATGCTAGTGATACTGTTCAACAATTTCCACATTCTGTAGAATCATCTTTCTTGGGAATTGAAATAAATATGGATCCCTTCCAGTCAGGTGGCCAGATAGCGGTCTTTCAGATTTCTTGGCTCAACCAGCTGAGCATATCCAGTTCCCTTGTTGTTGTTGTTAGGTGCCGTCGGGTCAAGTACAACACATAGCAACGTTATGAACAACAGATCTGAACCCTGTCCTATCCTATGCCATCTTCAACTCCCTTAGGACTATGCAAATGTGAAGTCTTTATGGTCCATCAAAAGGGTTGGATAGCTTGCTGTAAATAAGTATGGGATATTCAAAGAGATCAACAAGTGAGAGGGAAAAAAAGACATGTATAATAATATTAATGTGGGAATTGGTCAGTTTTGCTATCCTGCTGCTCTGGTGGTCTAGTGGATAGAGAGTTGTGCTGCCAATCCAAAGGTAAGCAGTTCACATCCAGAAGTTGTTCCATGGAAGAAAGATGGGCAGTCTCATCCAGGAAAATGTGATTTACAGTCTCTGAAAACCTATTGGAGGGTCCGCTGTGAGTCACTTCTGACTTAATGGCAAGAGAGAGTGAGAGGCTGAAAATTAGGATTTCATTACAGCCAAGAAAGAATCTTTGTTTTCTTGATGTTGAGCCTAGGCTTACTGACACATAACTGCAAGGGCTAAAAGGGCTTTGTGTTTTCTACCTGAGGAGGCCAGAGGCCAAGGCCTTGAGACCAAGGGCCAGAGATAGAAGCTTGCCTTTCAGCACAGGTCAGAAGGCATCACTAATTGAACTGTATCCCAAGGGTTTGAACCCTAATTGTAACCTGTAATAAACTCCGTCAGTATTATCTGCAAGTTCCATGTGGCCATTGAAGTAGACTATCAAACTAGAAACTAGTGAGTATTTTGGGATGAACGATTGGTGTTGGAATTGTTAGGAAGGGCTTAGAGCATGGAGCGTGAAGGCATGTGCGACTTCCTAAGTAGTGGCTTTCGAGCTGCTGTTGTTAATGTGGATTCTTCCCTTTTGTGAAGTTAGTGGAGGTAAGACATCACAATAGCCTATGTCCATACCATTTTTGCAGTTTTGATGGTGGTAGCATCTCTATGATCCCTGATAGAAGACCCTCCATTTGCCCTTTCTTGAATTCCCATCAGTCCTTCTTCCCATGTCACTCACCACTGCACCTGTCCAAATAGCAGCCCCTGAGGACAGCAAGGCGGAGTACTTGCAAATGTAGAGGAATCCTCCCAAGACTCCACTCAAGACGCCAAGCACGATCTGTGTCACCTGAAAGACAGGGAGCCCCACTCCCACAGTGTATGGATTCAGGGTCAATTTCTGCCCCAAATCTTTGGTCAGCTTGAGGTCCTCATCACTCCCAGCATTTGAAGACCTAATGGAGGAAGAATGTTGCCGTTTCCCCAGGCTTACTCCTAGGCCTTATTATTTCTTAAGGAAACCTGATAATGTCTATGTCCTGACTAGATGACTAGGTCTTGATAAGGCCCTAGGCCTGATCAGACATTGACAGGATCCCTACCCCCAAATTCCTGGGCAAACTACCATCCCCTCTAGATCTTCCTTTATAGCCCTTATAAAAACACACACTCAGCTGTCTTTGCCTGCCTGCACAGCACGATCCTCTGGGTGAGTGGTCACCTGGCATCCCTCTCAGACCACTTAATAAAGGCCTGTTCTCTTCTTGAGACCACCTTCTCTCTCTCTCTCTCATCTTTTTTTCTGTCTAACACCTGGAGCAGCTTTCTTAAGCCATTTCTTAGCAGCATTCTTAGGAGCCCAAGGTTTCTTAAGCCATTTCTTAGCAGCATTCTTAGGAGCCCAAGGTGGCATCTTGCTGATGATTCAAATTCATCAGTGACTTCATAGGTGGAGCTCCAATCAACCTACAGCATCAGAAAAACCTGCTGAAGGGTCAACTCTGATTTGCTTCTGACTCAGTGAAATGACCACTTTGTTGCAGTTTTAGGAACTCATCCCTTGAGGTCTTCATCACCCCTGAAAACAAGTAGGCATGCCAATTCACCAGAAGCCTGGTTGAGAGACGTGTGGGGTTCCACCCAGAGGGCTGTAAAAGGATTCTATCTCCCCACTCTCTTCTACTGTAAACCTTTAGCTCATAGCCAACCTGACTCACTGCTTTGATCAAGAACACTAGCTAATGAGAAAGGAAAAAAAAAAAGCAGCACAAAGCACTAAGAATGTGACTTATTGTAAAAGAATATAATAGATTCAGTGTGTTGTTAACTGGAGCAAAAGCACCAGCAGAGAGAGTTTGTGTTTGGTTTAGTGTGAGGACTTTGGGTGCTGTAATGCAGTCCCCACATGGGAGGTATCCATACTCACCCAAGATGCTACAAGAAGTCGCTTGCGACCTTGGGAATGGATGGTAGTGCACTTGGGTTGAATCTTGGACTGCAAGTGGGAGCAAGCAGATAGCAGGAGCTTGGGCAGAACAGATTCCTGGTGGATATGCATGTCGATGTGGAGAGGCTGGGTTACCCCAGACGTAAGGCCATCACTGTCCTTGGTCTTTTCACAAGTGTCCATTATTCCTGAGGGGAGGAAAGAGCACTATTGAGGACAGGTGGCCATTACCGTTTACGTTTTGAAAGATTTTGTTGGCATTGTAAAGGATAGGCAATGGGAGTTGAGAAATTGTGGTGAGAAGCTCTGATGCCCAAGCCCACTTTGTTCAAAATGGCTTTCCTAAGTCCAAATGACTTTGATTTTTGTCACATGAGTGAAAAACACTGTCAATATTCAGGGCACTGTCTCGACTTCTCTTTGCGGCTGATGGGTCACTAGGATCCCTAACCAGGGATACCCCTGCACCCCTGAGCTGTGGACAGTTCCTTCTGGTTGTTTTCTCCTGTATGAGTTTGCCAATGAGTTATCCATGGTATTAATCTGATGAGTGTTTGCAAAATCCAATCCAAACTCAATTTATCAAGAGTGAGACTTTGTTATGAGATTTTTCAAAAATTGGGCACTCAAGTTCTGACACAGAATCAGGCTGGCATGCCTCCAACCAGAGTTTTTATCCCCCTAGGCCACAAATCCCTTCCCCAATTCCTCCTTAACTAAGTACTAGGCGACATGCAGGCTTTTCTGCAAGTTGCCTGTGTGGTCTACATCTTATCTCCCTTTTTTACAATTCCCTGTCCCTCACTTCCTCCTTTATCTCCGTTGGAAACACATTCCAGAATCTCTTCTTTTTAAAATAGCCTGCCCTTCTCTTCTGCTCTTTTCTTGTTTGTATATACATTCCAGAGGCCCTGTGGTTTATGATGTCAGTAAATAGTTTGTTTCTTTTGGGCCAGATTGTGACTCAACTCATTATTTCTCTTTTTGTTTTTCCTACTCTGAAGATTGATCAGTCTAAAGTTTGTTTTTTACACATAGTTAATGATATGAATGAGATGATTAGTACCTGTTGTGTAGAAACATGCAAACAAGGTGTACAGACTACTAGTGATGGAATTTGTCAGTCTCTCCATCCCACCAGACTTTAAAAGAGCAGATTGTTGTTGTTGTTGTTGTTGTTGTTATGTGCCATCAAGTCACCTGCTACTCATAGCGACCCTAAACTGTGCTCTATCCTGTGCCAATCTCACTGTCTCGGACACACCTACCCCCATTCCCCCAGTCACTAAGTCAATCCATTTCATCAAGGGTTTTCCTCTCTTGTACTGTCCCTCCACCCTCCCAACCATGATGTCCCTCTCCAAGGACTGATCCCTCCTTGAAAAATGTAAAAAGTATGTCAGACAAAGCTTCAGAATCCTTGCCTCCAAGGTGCAACTTGGTTTCACCCTCTTTAGGATGAACCTGTTTGGTCTCTTAGCAGTCCATGGAATAGGATCTCACTACCAGAAAGAACTTGGAGAAACAATGAAAGTTATACAAGTGTTCAGGTCTTTCATTTGTAGGGTCACTATGGGTAGTCTATGTCTTGATGGCACTTAACAACAACAACAACAACAACAGCAACATAGAGAGAGCTCTGTTGGCCTAGTGGATAGAAAGTTATGCTTTATCTATGGCCCTCAGTCCTGGTTTTAATTGTTTTTGGTCAAACATTCTTCTAAGTGGTATCGCACTGGTCTATCATTTGCTATACAGAGGTAACTTATGTTTGCTATGATACTAAACACTGTGACACTGATGTGTCAAATGTGATAGTGGTTACCAATGGTGGACAGTGTTGGTGGAGCTCCTGATTAAAACAAGCTTGGAAGCAGGAGTGGCATCCACTTCCAAAATAGCTTGTATCCGGAAACTCTATGAACTTGGAAAAACGATGAAAGTTATACAAGTGTTCAGGTCTTTTCTTCATAGGATCGCTATGAGTTGTCAATGACTCAATGACACTTAACAACAATAACAAACAGCAGGAAGGAAGTAGAGTGACATATGTGAGTCCATTTGGACCAGAGATTGCACACCAGTTAAATGAGAATCTAGATAAAAGAAGCAGGTCTTTGGAAATCCAGAAAGTGATGTGAGAGAGAACTTTATAGGGACTGTGTGTTGTGTGTGTGTGCCTCCTGCCTCAGACACCACCCCACACCCCATGCCCCAGTTTCCTATCTGGATTATCTTTCAACTTCCTTATTAAACCCCATAATTGTGAGTATGATCTGTGGGGTCTATGTGGTCATTGCAATAGATCAGCAGACCCAGTAGTAGACCAGTGAGAGTCCATGAAGTGGTGGTTGATGTTAGAATTGGTAGAAGTAGGTGTGGGGAGTGTTGTGGTATGTCTGACCTCTTGGGAACCAGGTTTGTATTGTGGATAGGGATTTGTTTCCCCTTGTGGAGTTGGGAGAGGTCAGAGGCGGCTGCCTTCATGCTCTTTGCACTGTTTTCACTCCTGGTCATCAAGCTGGATCCTGATTTCTCTCAAAGGCGTCAAGATGGGGGGTAGATTCTAAACTTGTTGTAGCTTTTCCTTCCAGCGTAGCTATCTGTTTAAGACCAAAATCCCTCAGGTACCCTTTGTTAAAGTTTTGCTGGGTAACTATAATGTTGAAGCCCAGTCCTTCATTCCTCCCTTCTTTTTCTGACTCACAACCAACTTCCTTCTCTTTCCATTTGGATTCTGCTCCAGGACAAACTCCTCTCCACTCTTCCTTTGTCCATCTACTGTGGTTCCCACATTCTCCCTTCCCTCAGGGATTGAGTCCAGCCATGCTCCCCATGACCTGACCCCACTACTTATATTGAAGATGTGTGATCATGGCTTACTGTCTCTGTTTCCTTCCTTGAGAGTCTCATGTTAGAAATAGAATTCTCGTGTGATGATAATCCTTTTATTATAGCAGCTACTCCAGAGTGGGGCTCCAGGGCCCTTCTCAGCTCTCCTCCATACTAAAAGCTACTCAGTATCTACATGTCTATACAAATGGCTTCCTTGACTCTTATAAGAAAGAACATAGTGGAGGTGGGGGGAGAGGTAAAGGACAGGCCATCATGGCAACAGACAGGATCACTTACCTCCACCTTCTTGGAGTCACACGCTCTGTCTGTTGGTCTCTTATTTCCAAGCAAGGTCTCAGGGAAATTGACAGTAAAGAGGACCTGTGAGATAGGGTGGAAGCTTTGAGAGCTCGTTTCAGAGACTTCTCTGAAAGGGAATCTTGTGCAAGAGAGGCTCCAGGGCAAAGGATCAACTGAGCTGTAGAACTCTGTCTTACCTGATATCCTCCGGGGCCCCAGCTGCAGAGCACACAGAACTCGGACGAAGAGGATCCTGTACTGGAGCTGAACACAAGCAAATGGAGAAGAAAATTGGCAGATGGTCAAAAGAGAAGGCGGAAGGAAGTGCATGATGGACTTTAGCGTTACAATTTCCCAGCACACAATTGGAGCAAAGGGGCCTCTTTGGGGTTTTCCAGCTGCTGAAGGATCAATATGCTCTGGTGAGCTAGGAAGGGTGGTAAGGTAAGTGACTCTGGGGACACAGATCAGAGGGACTCTGGGACTTACTATGTCCCACACATCATTCCTCAGGGATTAATAGTTTCATAACAGGTATACATTTTGGTGTTTGTGAATTTGTGTTGTATGAATAAAAATGAACTTGTATTGTCTAAATAGGTATGGGTTTCTGTTTTCTGAAAGAGTGTGAGTGTGTGTGTTGCCTGAATGTGTGTGTGTGTCATCTGAAGGGGCAGTGGGATGTGTGGTCCTTCTGCCTTCTGTTTTCAGCTTGATTCTCTGTTGAAGACCAAACTCCCTCAGAGGGGCCCTCTTGTTCAAGTTATTTTCTGGGAAATTGTAGTGTCCGGCCCCGCATCCCTCCCTCCTCTTTCTAACTCTCAGCCAACTTCCTTTTGTTTCTTATTTGGCTCCACAAAGCCTCCTCCCAACTCCCCCTGTGTGACTATCACAAGATCCAGAGGAAAGCAGGTAAGGCAGGGTCCCCACAGCACAGTGAGACCTCTTTCTGAAAGATTCTCTTGCACAGGACTCTGTCCTAGGGGTTTCTCCAAGATCAGTCTTATCTTGCTTCCTGGGTTTCCCTCAAGGCTTTTTTTAGAGGGAGACACTCACTAGATAGAGGCTTTGACTCTAGGCAAAAAAATCAAGCAGGGCAGGAGCATCAGGTCTATTGAGCTCAGGCTTCTTTTGTTCCATCTTCCCAATGCCTTCTCCTAATTCTACATGGTGTAGAGTTGTTCAGGAAGTTGGTGCTGAGTGCAAATCTACTGTGGAAGAGGGCTAACATGGACTAGGGTGGAAGACAGTGAACACTGAAAGTTCTGCCTTCTTTTCCCAGCCCTAGTCTTGAGGGTCAGAATCCAGATCTTCTGAAGCTAGATGAAGAGTAGGGGAGAAAGATCAGGTAGTTGGATGGGGTTAGGGTAAGTGGAGATACCCAGGGAGATGGGAGGTGTTGGAGCCAGGGCTTTAAACTAGTCTCTGGTCATTGCTGGCTTGAATCTGGAGCTAGACTTCCTCTTTCATGTTTGTGAACAATTTGGTTCTCTTGTGTTTATTTGCACCTTCTTTTCCTGTTACATAGGAGATCTGGAGGCAAAGGGTTAGAGAGATGTAAAAAAAATGAGTAGAGTACAAGGCCTTCAGGGTTAATGCTGTTGTTGTGGGTTCTCTGGTGGTCCAGTGATTACACACTTGACTGCTGTCAAACCCATCAGCTACTCTGCAGGAGAAACAGGTGGCAGTTTGGCTCCATAAAGAACATAGTCTTGGAAATATAATATGGCTGTTCTACTCAGCTGACAGGGCAGCTATTAGTCAGAAACAACTGAACAGAAAGAGATTTTGGTTTTGGTTTATTGTTGCTCATAATTTAGGATTACAATTTATAATTAGTTTAATGGGGACACCCATTAGAATTATCTATGGAGGTTTACTTTGTGATCTAAACAAACTAATTTTGATGTGTATAAGAGTTAAACTAGAAAAAAATGACTGTGACAATTTTCAATGGAGGAGATACGTAAGTCTGATATTTATTGAGGATAGAAAATGTATTTGTGCCTTTAATTGGATGTTTTCTTATTAAGCTTCCATGTTTCTATGAATGCAAACTGTATATAATGAGTTTTTCTAAGAAAAGAAGAAGTATGGAACTTTCTTACTTCAGTTTTTAAAATAATTGCCTTGCAGGCAGGTATCTTTAAAATGTCAGGAGATTTTTAATGAGAACTTATAGCAGCTCATATTGTGAGAATAAGAAGTAAATGTTATTAGATTAATGTGGCATATTGGCATAAAAATTGTATTTTCCCCTTCAACTAGTAATAACTGATTCTAAAATGTATTTTTATTTTTAAATGTAATTGTTTTTGGTCTTTTGGGCAAAATGAATGTGCAGAAAGGATCATAGAGAGAATTGAAATATCTGAGTTTTCAATTATTGCTAACAGCTTCTCATTCCAGTCTCAAACAGTATTATGTAAAATGAATTCAAAGCACATTGTTAATAAATTTAAATAAAATATTAACTTTTGGGGCTGTTCCCATGTTCTTGCTATTATTAATAATGCTGCTATGAACATTGTTGCACAAGTCTTTGTGCCTCAGTTCTTATTTTCTCAGGGTATATTCAAACAGTAGAATAGCTGAGTCATAGAGAATTTCTATGTTCAGTTTTTTTAAGAAATGCCAAACTGCTTTCCAGAGTGGTTGTACCATTTTACAATCCCACCAACAATATATAAGAGTTCCTATCTTGCCACATCCTCTCCAACATGTATTACTTGCTGTCCTGTTAAACCTTGCTTCTGTTACTAGGGTGAGATGGTATTTCATTGTGGTTTTGATTTGTATCTTTCTTATTGCCAGTGATTTTGAGCATTTCTTCATGTGTCTGTTAACCATCTGAATATCTTCCTCTATGGAAAGTCCATGTATTTGCCCATTTTGTAGTTGTGTTATCAGTCTTTTTCTTGTGGCAGCCATATGGTATTTTGTAAACTTTTTATATGAGACCCTTGTCTGAAATGGTATAGCCAAATGTTTTTTCCCCCAGTCACTAAATTTTATTTTCACTCTCTTGGAATACATTTTTTTGATGCTCACAGAGATTTATACGGTCCCATTAATAAATTTTATCCTCTCCAAATTGTGCATTTCTGACTGTATTTGGCAATCTCTTTATAACATAGACTAGATCGTCTAAGCTTGATCCCAGTTTGTCTCTTAGGAACTATGATTTTGGGCTTTATTTCTAAGTCTCTGATCGACCTAGAGTTGATAATAGTGTATGGTGTGAGATGTGATTCAGTTTCAGCTTTCTGCAGGTAGAAGTCCAGTTTTGCCAGCATAATTTGTTGAAGAGGGTATCATTTCCCCATTTAATAGTTTTTATTTCATTGTCAAATATCAGTGTACCATAGACAGCTGGGTCCATTTCTGGGTTCTCAATTCTGTTCTATTAGTCTATGTGCCTGTCATTGTACCAGTACCATGCTGTTTTGGTTACTACCGCTGTGTAATAGGTTTTGAGGTCAGAGAGTGTTATGCCTCCCACTTCATTTCTATTTTTCAGAAATGCTTTGTTTATTACTCTAAATAAACTTGACAATTTATTTCCCTTTCAATCTCCTTGAAAAATGAATTTGGTATCTGAATTGAGATTGCATTGAACATGTAGATTGCCTTTGGTAGGATTGTCATTTTCACAAGATTGAGTCTTCCTATCCATTAACAAAGTTCATTTTCCCATTTCTTTAGGCCTTTTATTGAGTCTCACAAAAATGTCTGTAGTTTTCTTTGTTTAGGTCTTTCATGTCTTTAGTTAAGTTCACTCCCAAGTATCTCAATTTGTGATTGGCTATAGTAAATGGTATTGCTTTCTTGGTTTCCTTCTCTCTGAGTTCTCTTTGTTACTATAGAGGAATCCCATGGATTTTTGGATATTGATCTTATATCCTGCCACTCTACTAAACTGATCTACTAGCTCTAGCAATTTTTTGTTGTTGTTGAGTCCTTGGGTTTTTCTGTGTATACTATCACATCGTCGGCATCCTTGTCTGATTTCTATTCACAAGGAAAATGTCTTTAGTCTTTCTCCACTGAGAATGATGTTGGCTCTTGGTTTTACATATAGACTTTTCACTATGTTGAGGAAATTTCCTCCTATTCCAATTTTGTTGAGTGTCTTTATCAGAAAGCAGTGTTGGATTTTGTCAAATGATTTTTCTACATCAATTGCTAAAATCATATGATTCTTATTTGCTTTGTTAATATGATGAATTACATTGATTGTTTTTCTTATGTTGAACCATTCTTGCATATCTGTTATGAACCTCATTTGGTGGTGAAGAGGGTTTTTTTTAATGTTCTTTTGGATTTTATTGACTAGGATTTTGTTAAAGATTTTTCCATCTATGTTAATGAGAGATATTGGTCTATGGTTTTCTTTTTTGGTAATATCTTTGTTTTATTCTTAGGGTTATGCTTACCTACCTGAATGACTCTGGGAGTGTTCTCTCTTTTTTCTATTTTTGAAGTAATGTAAGTAGAATTGCTGACAGATCTTCTCTGAATGTTTGGTAGAATTCAGTTGTGAAGCCATCTGGTCCAGGACTTTTCTTATGGAGAATTCTTTTCACGACCTGTTCAATTTCTTCTTTCTTGATGGGCCTGTTCAAGTACTCTATATCTTTCCTTGTCAATCTGGGCAAGGCATGAGTTCAAGGAATTTGTCCATTTCCTCTAGGTTTTTAAATTTATCAGTGTATACCTTTTCATAGTATTCCAGTATTATCTATAAATTTAATTTCATTTGATTCTGTTATGTTATCACCTGTATAATTTTTTAATTGAGTTATCTGTGTCTTCTCTCTCTTTTTTGTTTTTATGTTTGCTAGTGGTCTTTCAATTTTATTGACCCTTTCAGAAAACCAGTTCCTGGTCTTACTGATGGTTTCAATTGTTTTTCTTAGTTTTTATTTTAATTTTTTTGGGGGGTTCCATTCTATTGCTTAAGGAATTTATTAAGGTTTAAAAGATCTACATCACAGAAAAGGGTTGTAATAATGTTACCCTGGAAAAATTTCAAAGTCAGCATTAGCAATATCTCACAGAGGCATAAAAAGTATCCATAAAGTGCTTACAGTTTTAAACCATGATAACCTGGTGA